GTGCTCGTTGAGCCTTACCTTCAATATCTACAGTGGGATTAAGGTTAGGGTTGGGACTCAGGTTAGGGTTAAGGCTAAGATTAGGGTTAGGGTTACGAGTGCTGTAAAGCATTCCCGCATGGATGGGAAAAATTGATGGGAAAAAAGGAGTTAGGGTTAGGGCTAAGAATTTAAGGTTAGGGTTAGGGATAAGAATTTAAGGTTAGGCTTATAGTGTTTTAAAGCACCCTGGCATTGCTGGAAAAAGAGACCATAACCTGCACAATCAAAGTTAGTGAGTTTTGCCTTCTGCTGACTAAAAGTTATCCCAACAAGCCGTCTTTTTTGGGTGAGGGCGATACGCTCTACAGTGAAATGTCTTGAATGGAATTAGGGTTAGGGTTAATTTATGGTTACGAGTGCTATAAAGTATTCCTATATTGCTGGAAAATAGACGATGAACTGCACATTCAAAGGCATTGCCTTTTCCCTTGTGCAGATGATGATATTCCCGACGAGCCATCTTCAAATCTTATTTTGAGTGCGCACATTGAGCTCTACTGTCAATAGCTAAATTGACATTGGGGTTAGGTTTAGGGCTCAGGTTAGGGTTGGGGTCAGGGATAAAATAAGGGTTAGTTTTAGGGTTAGGGTTAGGGCTAAGATTGGGCTGAGTGCTAGGGCTAAGATTGAGGTTAGAGTGCTGTAAAGCATTCCCGCATGGCTGGAAAGAGAGACCCTGAACTGCACAATCAAAGGGTTAGGGTTTGTTTTAGGGTTAGGATTAGGGTTAGAGTGCTGCAAAGTATTCTGGCATTGTTGGAAAAAGAGCCCGTGAACTGCACAATTAAAAGTATTGCATTTTCCGTGTGAAACGTTAGCCTTTGAAAGCTTTAAGTTTGATGAACTGGAGGGTTTTAATTAATGAAACAAATTATGTAGGGAAACCTATGGCATCTGGCTTGTTCACCATAAAAGAGTCGGCTTATTTTGGCCCACCTGTATTCCGGTATCTTGGAGAAAAAATGTTCTCCAAAAAAAAAAAAAATAAAAAAAAAGACATTTGATTGTACCTGTGTCAAAGAGCCCCACGGGAAGGTGTGCTTGTATATAATTGAAAAGGAAAGTGCCGTATAAATATCTGCCGAAAGCTGGGGGATTTGAGATTATTTGGGGATGACTTTCCTGGTGTTTACCTGCCCGGCCATGGAAGTTTGAAACGCGGGGAGGGAGGGGGGGTTGCTGACACCGTAATATTGTGACACTAGGGGGCGATGTTTATGATACAGATGTAAATCTGTAATATAAAATACTCTATTTTCTCACCGCAAAATGGGGTGGAGTGATTCGATAGCCCATCCCTCGGTAGAACAATAGGGGAATATCCCCACTCCCGGGATTTACGCCCATAAACAGAGACCAGTGGTATGGCTCTGCCACTTTTTCGGAAGACAATCCAAATTTTGGGGGCAAAATTATAATGAATGAAACCAACTCTTTGAAAGCATTTGTAAAAGTTTTCTTATTGAGTATATTGACATGTACCCCATACTCAAAGAACAATGAATCAACAAAGAAAAGGAACTCAGAAAGCACTCTTATCAAAATTGAAGAAGCTTGTTTTGAGGAATATATTCTACATTGAATTTTTTACCTTGAAATGAAATCACAGCGTTTTTCATTAACATAGAAAGTCGGACTGAGGAAAAATTCCTAAAAGCACAAAAAAGCACTTTTTAAAAACATATATCAAAACACGTTTTACAAAAAAGATACGAGTATTTTCAAGGGATGTAATAAAAAAAACTTTCTTATAATGCATATGCATGGTCCTTAGATCTATAATGGCTGATGGACACTAAATCGAGCAGAAGAGTCTGGTGAGCATAAGAAGCACAAGAAAGGTCCATTGACAGGCTGAGCTGACGGTAGGAGCAGCCCCGGTAGGCCCGCTACCCGGGTAGTCTACTGTGATTCCGCCTATTCCTGTCTCTGTTGTTGAAGGGCGACTGGTTGACACGCCTCCCATGCTGTTCAAGTTGGTGTAGAGAAACGGTGAATCCTGGAATTATGAAAGATGCAGGTACTAACTTTTTTCTATCTTGCGTGATCCAAAAAAAAAAATCCATCCGTCATTTTTTCACTGGCAATAAGTTAACATTTGTTTAGGGATTTATTTAAATGTAGGACACGATATTTGAAACTGCGACATTCATTTAGATCCCGATTCAGTTTTGCATACGTTTATGTCACTCATTCATTTTATTTAGAAATATTCTCAATGTCCTTCCTTTCAGATAAACTAAAAGGTACAACTTTCAAACCGTCTCAATGGATTTTTACAAATAAGCACTTATAAATTCTCATAAAATAGCCCAAAGGTCTGGTGAAATATGCCCTCTCTTTTCCATACAAAGGGTGAGAGTGGCCCTGTTAGGATGGAAACCTAGCTAATTGTAGTATTATTTTTGTGTGGTGCCATTTTTCAATAAAATGCTTGCATACGAAAATTAAGTTTATGTTTCGTTGAATTTTCGTCCGAAGATGTGTTGCAAAACGTTTGCAAAAACGGTATGGCCCCTTATTGAGTTTCCGATGCAGAAAACGTTTAGTTTTCTATGTATGCGGTTAATCGTTGGCTTTGTGTGTGCTGAGGAATTCAAGTTAGCTCTAAAAATAAATGGCTATGACAGTATTTTCTGGTTTACATTTGGTTCTTAAAGTGACCAAAAAATCTTATATTATTTAGTTCGAACGGAGTAGTGAAATGTTTTTATACGTTATCGTAGCAGGCGGGCATACTTCATGATAAGATGAAAATATTTTCATCGACACGATGAAGAGTAAGCTATCTTAAGACATGACGTCATAACTTTTGAAATGTAACAGAGAAATATTTCATTTTATAGCATACTCAATAAAATACATTATTCTCAGTAACTGCCGGTTGGGGGTGCCTTGTGATATCTGAGGCTGTTGTGTTGCTATGGTAATAAACCCTTGGCGAAAGACCAAGTTCTATTAATCTCACTGGAGGAGAGGGTACTTGCGAAGGAGCAACTCCGGATCTCCTAACAATTGGGTTGTGGGTCATGGATGTCAGACACCATGATACTGTAAGTTTGGTGGGAAACCTTCACTTTGGTTCAGCAGACGATCAAATCAACATTATTTTAACAGAAAAATAGTATTTGGTTATTTTTTTCACAGAAGTGTAGGAAATAACTGGGGGTTCATTCGTTGAAATTTCATTTTGCCACCCGAAGCAACACCTGGATACCTCACTGGTTCAGAATGATAATATTTGGCAAGACTTCCTTGAGGACATTAATAATTAAAGCAACAGTAAATCAGGCATATTTCGTTATTAACCTCGTTTATTGCATGCTTCATGAGAACATGCAAGAACGACCACGTTAAGCGCCCTCTCGTGTAGAGAAGACTGTGAACCATATTTAACCTATGATTAGGTAAATTAGAATCGAGTACACTGATATTTTTGTCTGTCATACAATCCGTTTTCTTATTTATCACAAGGCACGGGTTTCTCCACTGCTTTTTTTTTTAATGAACTTAGTCTCCTGTTTATTTAATCTATGCTGCTTAACGGCTTGTAAGTGACAGGCAAATATTCTGTGCGTTTTTACGGTTCTTCAGGTGAGGCCTGTTAAGCTTCTTTTAAAAGAAAAGGGACATCCCCAAATTAATTCCTGCAACATACTTTAACTTGTTTTCTTTTATTCTCCAAACTTGGAGGCATTATGACAGCGATACCTTTGAAATGTTTCAAAAATACTTTCCTCGTACTGGCAACGCTTTTGATACCTTGTTCACTATTAACACAGAATTTCTGCAGCCAACAAACAGAAAACAGGTCCTGGCGACAAACGGTTTGTAATTGAAAAAAACAAAAAAA